TCCACTCACTCAATAATAATAATAGAAATAGTTAGAATAGAAAAGGAAGGGTAAATGATTGATTCATCGTGTCATTTTGATATAATGCTGGAACAAAATGAAAGAAAAGGAAGTAACCAACTAAGACCCACTGAGGTTTTAACTCTTAAAGCTTTGGAAGCTGAAGATGATCACAATCATACCAGTTGTCATTGGTGCATTTGGTATGATGAATGACAAAATGGAAACACCGATAAAGAAAACTGACATTGATTACCCAGCGGAGCAATTACAGAAACAAAGACTCTAAGCAACGGCAAGAATAATCAGGGAAGTGATGAACACTTAGAAGAAAATGACATGATACCTAAGGCCATTTCTTGTGACCCGCTATTCATATATTAATTACCAGTTATTATGACCTTATTTGTAATAATAATAATAATAATATGGGTGCGCAGAGAAGTGGCACGAACATTCACCACTGCTGAGAATGAGCACGTGAAGCTCATGACCATCTTGACTGGCAAGCGATTAGAAAGTAATAGATCTGATATTACAGTAACACACAAGAGAATTCACTACACTAAATAATCAGTATGAAGGCCATAATAACGCAGGTTCAGTGAAGAACGGACTAACAACATCAACGAATGTCACACTAGCCATATAGAAACAGTCTAACTTGTCAGTCGTTTCTTTACGACTTGCATTAAGCACATAAATCCATGCATATGCTCATATATTTATGTATGTATGTATCAGTCTGGAGGGGGACGATCCTGGCGTGTTGCACCTTTGGAAAGTGCCTGAAAACCATATCACGGGTTGACTCAAGCCTTGTCAGGGAAATTGGGTAGACGGAACTCTTGTGGGCCGTCGATAGCTGTGCTAGCACGAAGTCACAAGTCATCGTGACCAAGGGTTTGAGTGTGCTGGTGTTGTTCAAATTGTTGATCACGCTAGATAACACGCTCTCTCCCAGAAAGTGTAACTAAGGTCTGCTCAACATAGTTGCAGTATAAACTACAGGTGGGCTCTGTGGGTGTTGAGCAAACGCAAATGTGCCTGAGCGAGCACCTGCAATAGGGATTGGCTAGCCACCCTAGTAGATAGGTATCCTCGAGTACTATTATTTATTATGTATGTAATAGTTGTGTATTTGAGCAGCAGTCTTTCTCTAATACATGTTTGATTAAAATAACCGACAAGGTACTTCTATTAACTGTTTTTTCTGTATTTTTCTTTTATGCGAACAAGAGATTTCATTTTTGACTTTAGTGAGTGTATAAATGTTTCAAGTGAATGTTCATTCCGAGCTCTTTCAACTAATCTATTAACCATTTTCAAGTATTTGGTTGTGCTGTTGTAAATGGTGTGTAAGTTGCGGAAAGGTAGGCATATCCTTAACTCCAGAACACAGCCAGTACATTGTTTCCGTGTTCATAGATGATGTTATGGGTTGTTTTTTTATGTATATATATCCTGTAGACACACCTATGGAGTATAAGGCCACTGTCTCAACGTACTAGGCGTTGCTACTATGATTTCTGTAGCAAGTAGGCGACACGCCCAACTGGTTTTGAATTCAGAGTTGTCCTCTTAGACTGTTTGCAAATCAATATTTGATAGCCCAGTCTGTTCTGCTATTAACTTCTAGCTGGGAGTAGGAAAGAAGCGATAGATTCTTGCATTTCCAAAGGTATTTGTGCGAAAGTAAACGCAACGGCCTAGTCTGGAATTTGAACTCGACACACCAATTCCATTTGCCGTGTCGATAACCGCTCTATGCTTTTGTAAATGCATTCAACGATTCAGAAATGTTTCATTTTTGCGAATAACTTTTATATTTTGAGCTCAATTTTGTTTAAAATTGGATAATTTACTATTAACAGTATATCAATTCAATATATCTAAAATAACTGGCAGTTCCTACCTAATATAAACTGTATGTATGTGTGTGTGTGTATGTGTAGAATTATGTAATGGAGGGACAACTTCAAGGGCACGTGTATTGATGCTATTACTATATAGAAAAAAATATATAGTAACAGTATCAACAAAGATATCCTTATTTGTCGTTTGGAGATTGTCTTTACATGAAACAGAGTCGGATGCTATATTACATAATTGCATAAAGGAAGCTTTTGCTGTTTTCTTTCATTATTGAGTTTTTACTCCATTTGCATCTTTTGTGCACCAATTGAAACCCAAGTATATATATATATATATATATATATATATATATATATATATATATATGTATATATATATATATGTGTGTGTGTATGTGTGTGTGCGTGTGTTAGGAACAGGCCTCATCGACCAAGTATATGGGATAGAACTTAAATCTTCCCAGTTGCTTGTTGATTGCTTTGCAAAGGGCGCGGTTCTTTTCGTCATTTTTAATCCTCTACTTACCTCCATCCGCTTCCTCCTTAGCCTAAATCAAATTGCTTTTTTTGCGTCACCTTTAGAAACAAACAAAGCAACTCAGTCAGTTATGTGCCATGCGTGATACACGTTTAGGCGATCATTGTTTTAACAGAAGACGGAAAGTGCGATACTGAAATCCGAAGGCGCATTGGGATAACCAAAGATGGTTTCCAAAAGCTAAGCAGAGTAAATAAGAAACAGGAAAACTTCGTTAGAAATAATGAGAAGTCCTGAGGGGACAAGGCACATGAAGAAGAAGATCGTAGCAATTGTCAGATTTAGAAATGAAGAGCATCATTGCAAGGTAGCATTAAACAGCGTCAGGTCGTATCGTAATCGGATATTCTACTTTCAATTATAATTCTTCGTTTCGTTCAAGGGGGGGGAGCATATAGCAGTGGGTGTCCAAATAAGCTAAAAAAATAAAAACATGACATCTTCATCACATGGGTCATCATGATAGAAAAATCTTTTTGCGATGTCAAAGAACACTCGTTTGACACTTTTGTAATGCCAACGAATACTCGTTGTCGCTTTCGTAATGCTCGTTGTAGTAGAGCCATTGTAATCGCAGATACAACTATAGTAACGTCGTTGAACAATACTGGTGTCAGATGTCTTCGAATAACACTTGCGCTAATAGTACTTGTTCGACAATACTCGCTCGAGAAGTAACCACTGAATAGTGATCCGAATAGAGAAATCATAGTGAATAGAGTAGAGAATAGCGGTCCGTATAGTAAAAGAGGATAGAGTACAAATAACGAGCCGAATAGTAATAGAGGGTAGACTAGGATTAACGATCGTCAGTCGTCAGCTAATTCCTATATATATGCGTTTCCTCTATGGTCACGTGGTCTACTTAATTCAATAATGGGATTGCCTGTGTTTGTTCACTGGCGATCTGTGTTCAAACTCAAGTGTCGGCAGCGACACTTTATTCCTATATAACAAATCTAAAGAAAATCATTTTTGAAATATCAATCATTTTTAGCGAAAGCAACGGGCAAGCAGGATAGAAGAAGTTAAGCACGCCGCTATTTTTTTTTTTTTCAATTTTTCTACAACTGACGACTGTGGGACGATTGTGTCAATCTCAAGTCGCAGATCTTCGATTACAGTGTTAGAAGCAATTTGAAAAACCGTTTGTTCATAATTACTGGAATGCACGTATTGCGAATATCGATTCAGCAAAATAAATACAGTGTGTTTCAAAATAATCAACCAATTTAATTTAAAATAATATAAATCACTTTTCAAATACTGAAACATTATTTTTTATATATAAATGATAGAATATGGCCTGAGGCGAGAAATAAATTCGCATAATCTATTTAATAAAATTTTTATTTAATACAGTAACATTGTGAACATAACATGAGGCAAGAACAAAATTATCTATATATTTCAACTAATAGCCTTTTTGGTCAATAATTTAAGTAAATTTTTCCATATTTAATAACTAATCTACTACAAATTTCTTTCAGCATATTGTTGAATTCTTCAAAAGCAAAATACTCAAATGCTAATTAATTTGATGATTGTCTTAAAGGAACACTAACTTCTAAGTTCTTTTAATAAATTTTCTATTGATTCAGAGCTCAACTCATTGTTGGCCAAATTAAGGCCATATATAATATATATTATATAATCATTGAGCCAATTTTTCACCAGCGCATTTGTGTGGCTAGGATCATTATCAAATTGGAAAGTGAAACGACATCTTCAAATAATTTCGATGCCTGAGCTTAAAAAGCTTGTAATTATAGTAAGAGCAATTTCACCAAATTATAATCTACGTAAAACGTTCTTAAAATGTTTCGATTATTATATAAAGAATTTTGTTAAAAAATGGAGCCGTCTTTTTACTTAAAAGGTTTCTGCGTCTTCATACAGAGGCAAATTCGTTGAGAGACATTTTATTAAATTCAGTTCAGTTATGTGCCATGCGTGATACACGCTTAGGCGATCATGTATCTATCGATACATGATTGACGAGGCAGATTTCTTTCCCGCAGTAAGTTGCCATTACTTTCTGCGGTAGACCAGTTGACATCTAAGGGTATGGAACCCGGTCTGTCCTGCTATTTACCCATAGCTGAGGGGAGAAGAGGATTCATACCTTTCCCAAGTGTATTAGCACGTAAGTTAATTTTAATGGATCAGACTGGAATTCGAATCCGAGCCAATATCCATTACTCCACCGTGACTATGAACACATAATATGGAATATTCCTGCTCACATATTGATTGAAATTCATTCACACATAGACATATATGCGTATATATGAGCGAACAATATACACATGTACACATTTTTTCAAAACATGTAGATGACAAAAATGCATGAATATTCGGCCCACAAAATACCTAGATTATTGTAGGTTATTTCTGTTAAGTTTGATTCTCACAGGGTGCCTGGTGGCCTTATGTCAGACGAAGCTAAGATTAATAAATACTTACATCTACATTCATATATACAAAGAAATATGCTATTCTATATGGACAACGACCACACATGCCGGGTCATGAATTCTTTCCTGTTATTGACATTGTGTAGCCCAGTTGTATTTGCTGTATAATTCTTACAAAGGAGATGTGATATGAGACAATAAACATCGTGGGTATATAATAAGAATTTTAACTGGAGTAGAATTCAATGAGCAGAATAGAGAAAATGAAAGAGAATGTAGGCGCAAGCAAAGACGAGAGAAAGAGAGAGAGAGAGAGAGAGAGAGAGAGAGAGAGAAAGAGAAAGAGAGAGAGAGGGGTGCTGGGTCTGTCAAAATCGATGGTGCTATTTAGTATTTAGGCACTTAGATCTTCTGAAGTGGGTGTGGTGGCGGGTTGGAATCCCTGGCGACGTGTGCTGCGTGATGGTCTCACTGGCTTTGGGCCATTGTGATGAGCAATCCAAGTGAATTCTGCGGATTATTGTCAAATCCGGACTCTTCGACAGGAAAGCTCTCTCAATAATGCATGTTGGCCCGGCCGCTGATCCAACTCACAGATCGTGCATTTCCGGGAACTTGCTTGCCGTGCACTGGGAGGGACAGTCCAATACCGCGCCAGGCTGACTGAAAGGAGAATGACTGTAGCACGCGCGAATATTGTCGCTGACAACCTACCGATCTTCACATGGAGGCCATCTTGGATGCAGACATCTGCGTGTAGCGGGAGAAACTGTGAGAGGAGCAGACGCCACTTGTGCGCGCGGCTAGCAGCTTTTATGCAAGTATAAGATGATGTGTTTGATTGTATCCATTTATAAATACGTATGTTTATGTGAAGTTATTTGTAAATCATATAGTTAAGGTATCTAGTTTTTACCTCATTATTTTGTATTACCTTATTTGTCAGAGGGTTGTTGGTGCCCCTTTGTTATCTGGTGCATTTTCATGCGCATACTGTTACAAATTAACAATATTACTTTCCTCCAAATATCCTTATCATTGTGCTTTTTCTAAACCAAAGGGTATCGATTTTCAGATCTTGGTGAATGTTTTTTTTTTGTGGTGGATGTCTTTTCCGAAGGCATTAAATTTAATTTACGTGCTGATTGTTGATATCGAAACTCAACCACCTGCTCCAAATAAGGCATCATCATAATCAGTTATGAATTATGCATTCACGTGTGTGTATGCGTGTGTTAGCCTTCATAACTATTTTATTTCTCTTTTCCCGACTTTTTCATTTTTATGTATCTGTGTGAATGCGTATGTACCTGCGTGAGACTTTTGTTAACGCATGAATTTTATATGCTTATAGATGTTTGTAGATACTTACAATGTCTCACTTCGTTCTGCACAAGATTAACAACTGTAAAACTCTCAGTGACAAAAATGACTATAAATCATTAAAAATAAGACCACTACAGTTGTTTAATTTTAATATTTTGACTAAAACAAATCTAGAAAATTTCTGACGACAGAATTCATTTTAGGTTTGCTTGTAAGATTGACAACCTTAGTATAGCTGCCTTATGATGAACGTCCCTTGCTACTTAAATCAGAGATCAGAATTATCATTAACATATTAACAAAATTAAATAGATATTGTTTCTTGATCAAGTACTGGTTAGTCACCAGAATGTTTTTCGGAATTACATTTACTTTCTATATAGGTCTTTGTACAAACTTTGATTAAGATATCTACATGAATATGACAAATCCAGTCTTAACACAAATCCATTTATCTCGAAATAAGCTATAAAGACCAAAGTTCATTATTAGAACCACTGCTGAATGTTTACTCGTCATTCTGATGTCTTCTCCTTTCCATACACATAGACACGCACGCGTGTACGCACACATACATAGAATGTGCAAACAACAATTATATATATATATATATATATATATATATATATATATATATATATATATATTGTGTAATTAACAGCAGTGATTCCACCAAACATTTCTCATTAAAGAGTATAGACATTTTGTGTCTAATCAGTTTGTCCATCTTCCTCTCAAATTGCGAAGGAACTTTCGTATATATATATATATATATATATATATATATATATATATATATATATATATATATAGTGTAATTAAGCAGCAGTGATTCCACCAAACATTTCTCATTAAAGAGTATAGACATATTGTGTCTAATGCGTTTGTCTATCTTCCTCTCAAATTGCGAAGGAACTTTCGTAAAAACGGCAGTTGTTGATGTACGAAATTTCCAAAGCTTTTATAATAGTTGTGTACAAGCTTTCGACTCTCTTGAGTCATTCTCAGTGCTGTGTAATTAGTGCATTAAGTAGTTCGTTTAGTGACAAAGTTATATTTAAATGTAATAGAACAAACCCAGATTGCAATAAGTTCCATCCGCCAGGTGTCATGACAGTAAGTGTAGAACGTGTGTGATCACGTATTTTTATGCAATGGAGAATGCTCAGTTGGGGACTGAAATTATTTTATGCATGGTTGTTTTTGTCTGATGTAAATGTCCGTGGTCTAATGATCGAAAATGTATTAATTTTAAATAACAAATACATGTTTTTCAACATAATCTCGCCCATTGTTAATGCACATGATCCAGAGGTGTGTATTAATCTCATAGATTGAATGCTATACAGTAAACATTTCAGATCAAAATTCATCTATTAACTATGTATCGGGCTACTGTTTTATAAATCTACCTTCGTATACTAAATTCATAGACATTCTTATACTATGAAAGCATTGCCATTCTCATAAGTAGAGAGTTTACTACCAGAGAGAATATCCTTTGTATTTTTTCAAAGAAGAAAAATCTCTAAAAAGATGATTACAATACCTTCTTTTGTCCAAACAACTGCTAGAATAAATGTTAATGATTTTCTCTGTTTTTTCCACACTGACGCCCACTGACGCCAACTCACAATACTTGTATGATGAATATTGAACATTTCGAAGACTTTTCTCTTTTTCCATTAGAGTAATGAAGATTGTGTAAAACTTTTCTAAAATTCATAACGTAATATTTTATTCCTATCAGTTCATAGCATCATATTCATTATTTCATGTCTTTCTATGATCTTATTTTCAGGTAAAATATGTATTCCAGCATAAAAGAACGACCCCGGTTTTAATTCGACGAATTCATCTTGAATTTGATGGAACCATTGAACGGAAAAGGAATATTGCATGGAGTGACAAGTGACAAGGCGAAAGAAGACGCCACATGTGCATTCCATGATTGATTGCTGTATCTTAGTTCTTAGTAGATTTCGTTTAAATTGAGATTTGAAAGCTGTCTTAGATTTTCTTCATTTTGGATTCTCAAAAGCAACCCATTTTTGGACGCTTTATAATAAATCAACTTTTCATAGCCAGTTACAATCTGATGTAAAAAAAAATGACTTTTTATATCTTGAACAAGGAAAAAAAAAGATAGAGTATTTAAATTAGAGTTAGCAATTAATTTGTTTTTCTAACATCTGGATGCTTTTTGAAGTCTTTCGAATATCGTATTAGACTTGACTGCGCAAGCAATAAAGAAGTGAATAAACTAAAAAAGCCATTCCGAACATTGAATTTTAGGTAAACACATATTCTCTACTTGTAATATGGGTATTATCTATAGCTATCATCATAAATAAAGGGTTCGGTTCAAAATTGCAACGTATATCACCTGAAGAAGGCCGGAGCCTACAAACGCCGTAGATATGATAATAAAGATGAGGACAATGGCCCCTTCACACGTACTCCTCGCTAACCCATCCCATTTCAAGTCAAAGTGCTGTCTGAAGAAAGCCGATAGCAGCCATAATTTTTCTCCAAACACCATTGATAAGTTCGTACGCAGTACAAAGTTGGAAGGAAGTATTTGTAGAGCCCGTATGTAAATTACATTACCTTGAGCCATCTTGTGGTTGTAGATGTTTAAATATCTGTGTCATTCTTTGAATTTTATTTTATTTGTTAATTTTTTGTTGTTGTTTGTTGCTCTAGAATGTGATATTAGCACATATCCTTCGTTTTGTCGTGTGTATTTTGTTCTCCCCATTGCTATTAATGATCAAACTTCTTACTTCACCCCCGCCCCCAATTTGTTTCATTTTGAATGTGTATTACATTAGACCGTTGCTTATCAATGCTGAAAAATTGAGGCGAAAAGAGTGTATTGTCTTACCATACTATTTTTTAGTTGGTAGTAGACATCAGAACTTATACAAATCATAACTTAATATAAATTCATTCGTATTTCACGTGCTTTTTTCCCCACAGGTTAATAGGAGTAGATAGGCTCACCTATCGTACGGTCCACACTTCTTCCATGTCTATTGAACAGGACTAGAGGTTGATCCCTTGTTCCCTGATCAGGATATTGTTTACTGGTTCTCTGTTTTTCTTCTACCAGGATCACAAGGATTTAACTGTCTCTATATTTTGGTGATCGGACTACTCAATAACTGTGACTTTCCATTGTGAAGGTTGGCAGTTTGCTGACTGCTGCTTCCGACTGGTCGTTAGGAGCCCAAACTCTTTGATAGCGCTTAGAGAGGCTGCTCCGATCAACAGTCGCATACGATCGGGGTAGTGCCATGTCGCGCATGGGTAGGTGTCCCTGCATGTATTTCATGTGGGCAACGCTGAGGCCACATTATACCCTGCTCTTAGCCACGCACTAGCTGCTCCGTATTGCCACTGATGACAGATACTGACAATTATGGTGGCCTTTTTTCTCTTTCCTCAAAACATATCTCATGGAAATCACAACAAAAAGAAATAAAACTAAACCAGCTAACAAAAAACCACTTACCCCACTCAATATTTCTTGCTCCAACATTCGTGGTACCCGTTCCAACTTCTGCAGTGTAGGATCTTTTCTCTTGGAAAAGTCGTCAGATATCTTTGCCTTTTGTGAAACTAACTTGAATTCTTCCATTACGAAGCTATCTAAGAATATTCATTGAGTTTTAGGTTAATTAATATTTTGTTTTTGGAGAAACTTGTGGTATTGTGCGAAACTACCACTAGAGCAGTCTATTGTATGTTTAATTTCCTTATTTCATATACTAAACTTGCTATAACTGATTCACACGCATGTGTATTTGAAGTGTTTAGTATTTTTTAATTCCACCTCCTGGTTTTTATGATCGATTTAAAATAGGTGCCATCATTGCTTCCATTCTAATACCAGATCATAATTTCCGTTTTGGAAAAGTTTATCTTTAGTCTTATTTCTTGTAACACTTAGCAGAGATTGTTGATTTCAGTTAAAGATAATTCTTGTTCCAACTACGATTATCTATGACATCGGCGTGGGCATATCTCTTTCTCTCCCATCATCATAAGTACACTGGCTTCAGAAAACGATGTTTTCTATTAGTAGATACGTTTGGGATGTTGTGAGAAGTGCTTAAAGGATCAGTGTCCATCTCTTTATATCTGTGTTTGTATATGCACTGAGCATAGTGTAGAAAATGATTAAATAGACTGAGGCTATCTCACAAGCAATGGATACAAAGTAGATATGGATACAAAACAATGGATGCAAACTGTTAATACAGAGTGGATACAAAGTATCTATGGATACAGAGTACATATGAATACAAACTAATAGATGCAAAGCCAGAAATATAAAGTATGGATATAGAGTATCTATGGATACAAATATATTTGAATACAAAACAATAGACACAAAGTATCCATCTCAAAGCATTACTTTTTTTTATAGAAAGTTTGCTTTATATAAATAAATCCGTATATTTCTTTTTCTCTACGCG